CACAAACAAGCGGAGGGAGAGAGCGCCCCAGCCATTTAAATTTAAATGAAGCCGCGATTATTTAAATCACAGCTTCATTTCCCTCTGCCCATCTGTCTAATCTACATGCCTCTGCCGACAGAGGCATGTAGTCTAGACACAGCCTAGCTGCCCCGCTGGGAAAGCAGGGCTGCCACCATCAGTGGCACAGAAGGAAGGGTGGCAGTGGCAGACCTTTCGGTGTTGGTGGTGGCAGACTGCCTTGTGCACTTGGCGCCTGCACTCTCTTGCTGCCCAGCTTAGAAGCGGGTACCACCACCACCAGCAGCAGCACAGAAAGAAGGATGGCAATATCAGAACATGCCTCCCTTCCTTCTGTGCTGCTGCTGGCAGCTGGGTTGCCATCTATGTTGGGCACCTAATCACTTGCAACCAATTCCTGGCCACCCACCCTGCCAGCAGGGGCACTCATGGAAGAGAGGCAATATCATGCCATGCACCCTTCCTCATCTGCCGCTGGTGGTGGTGCCACTGCCTTTCCAGCTGCCCGGATTAGAAGATAGAGCTGTCACTAGAAGTGGCACAGAAGGAAAGACAGCAAAACCATCACCTGCCACCTTTTTGTTAGGTGCTGCTGGGGTTGCCTTCCGAACTAGGTGCCTGGCCAGAGGCTGCTGGTCTGTGGCCTCCCAATTTGGAAATCAGTGCTGCCATCAGTAGTGACACAGAAAGAAGGGAGGCCATACCCCACCATGCCACCCTTCCTTCTATGCTGCTGCTGGCGATGGTGCTGCCTTTCTGTCTGCCCAGCTTAAAAGGTAGAACCACCATCAGCAATGGCGCAGAAGAGCGGCAATACCATACAGTGCCACCCTTCCTTTTGTGCTGCTGCCAGCTGGAGCACTGTCTTCTGAGGTAGGCACCTGGCCAGTGGCACCTGCTTTCCAGCCACCCAGTTTGGGAGGCAGGGCTGCCACCAGCCGTGGTGCAGAAGGAAGCATGGCAATGCCATACCATGAACATAAGAACGGCCATACCAGGTCATCCTAACGGTCCATCTAGCCCAGTATCCTGTCTGCCAACAGTGGCCAATACCAAATGCCCCCGAGAGAAGGAACACAACAGGGAATCCTCACATGATCCCTCCCGTTACCCACCTCCAGAGAAAAAGAGGCTGGGGACACCATTCCCACCCATCCTAACTAATAGCCATTGATGGACCTAACTTCCATGAATCAATCTAGTTCTTTTTTGGACCTTGTTAAAGTCCTAGCCTTCACCATAGCCTCTGGCAAGGAGTTCCACAGGTTGACTGTGCTCCGAATGAAGAAAAAGTTTCTTTCGTTTGTTTTAAACCTGCTGCCGCCTCTGACAAGGAATTCTACAGGTTGACTGTGCTCCGAGTGAAGAAAAAGCTTCTTTCGTTTGTTTTAAACCTGCTGCCTATTAATTTCATTTGGTGACCCCTAGTTCTTATATTGTGGGAATAAGTAAATAATTTTTATTCCACACCAGTCATGATTTTATAGACCTCTATGATATCCCCCCTTAGTCTCCTCTTTTCTAAGATGAAAAGTCCAAGTCTTTTTAATCTCTCTTCATGTGGGGCCCGTTCCAAACCCCTAATCATTTTGGTTGCCCTTTTCTGATCCTTTTCCAGTGCCAATATATCTTTTGAGATGAGGCGACCATATCCGTATGCAGTATTCAAGATGTGGGCATACCGTGGTTTTATATAGAGGCAATAAGATATTTTCTGTTTTATTCTCTATCCCTTTTTAAACGATTCCTAACATTCTATTTGATTTTTTGACTGCCACTGCACACTGAGTGGATGTTTTCAGAGAACTATCCACAATGACTCCAATATCTCTCTCTTGAGTAGTTGTAGTTAAATTAGTCCCCATCATATTGTATGTACATTTGGGATTATGTTTTCCAATGTACATTACTTTGCTTAAATTTCATTTGCCATTTGTTGCCCAAACACTTAGTTTGGTGAGATCTTTTTGAAGCTCTTCACAGTCTGCTTTGGTCTTAACTATCTTGAGCAGTTTGGTATCATCAGCATATTTTTCCACCTCACTGTTTACCTCTTTCTCTAGATCATTTATAAATAAGTTGAATAGGATTGATCCCAGGACAGATCCTTGGGAGACCCCACTGGTTACCTCTCTCCACTCTGAAAACTTATCATTTCTTCCTACCCTTTGTTTCCTGTCTTTTATCCAGTTATCAGTCCATGAAAGGACTTTCCCTCGTATCCCATGATAACTTACTTTACTTCAGAGCCTTTGGTGAGGGATCTTGCTAAAGGTTTTCTGGAAATCTAAGTATACTTAACAGCCACAGGAAAAACAGGGTCCCATTTCTGTTTGGACTGACCAGACGGGACCCTCCTTTCCCAGTCATCGGTCCCTGCCTTGGCTTCCCCTGGGGTTGGTGTCTGACGACATGGGGCAGGGAGCCCTGGCTGGCCAACTATGGTGTCTCACTCAGCCACTTTAATTTCTGTTTAACTAACTTCCTCATTTTTGTGTGGTTCCCCTTTCTGAAATACCACACCATGCCACCCTTCCTTCTGTATTGCTGCTGGCAGTGATGCTACCATCTGCTCTCCAGCCACTCCATTCAGAGGGCAGCCCCACCACCACCAGCAGTGCAGAAGGAAGGGAGGCAAGACCATATCATTCAACCTTCCTTCTGGGCTGTGGCCTAATAGTGGCACTGAATTCTGAGCTGGGTGACTTGCCAGTGGCCACTGCTCTGCTGCTGCCCAGAGTCAAAAGAGTGCCACCACCAGCAGCAGTGTAGAAGGAAGATACCATAATATGTCACTCTTCCTTCTGTGCTGCTGCTGGCAGTGGCGCTGCCTTCCAAACTGGGTACCCAGACAGTGGCCACTGCTTTCTAGCTATCCAGGTTGGAAGGCCAGGAAAAATCACAGACATGTTTTAATATTTCCAAAATCTGCCCGGAGGAAGATCTGAGGACCAAAGAAGTCATGTCTGAAAAAACTGGGGACAGATAGTGAGCCTGCTCATGACCCTCCTCCACTAGCCTTGTGAGCCCTCCCCCCTTTTGGGTTGGGAGTCATTAGAGAAAGGCTGCACTTGGGAATTTCCCAATGACCCTGAAGTCTCCAACATGTCCAAAAGTTTCTGGCAGATCATTTCCCACAACTTCCACCGATTAGGTCATAGAATGGGCCCTACCAAATTCACGGTGCATTCTTGTCAATTTCACGGCGAGAGCTTTCCCAAATTGCTCAATTTCATGATTTCAGATGAAATTTCATGACATTTTAACCATGTGGGTCCTGATCTAAAATAGGATTGTGAGGGGAGGGGGGAGAAATTGCTAAGCTGTTGTGGGGAAGGGGTCCCAAGAATGCCACCTTCATGCCTGTGCAGACTTCAGGGCAGGGCTAGGGTAGGTTCCACCCTCATTTCTGCACTGCCTCTCAAGGTGGCTCTGATCTCCCTGCCAAGAGTGACGTAGAGGAAGGACAACTCCTGTCCCTCTCCTGTATGGCTAGATTAGCAGCTGGGAGCCCCAGGCTCCTACCAACATGGGGAGATCAGATTTCACGGTGCCCGGTAGATTTCATAATCCATGACATTTTTCATGGCTGTGAAATTGATAGGACCATAGTCAGATTCTCAGGAACCTTTCTCCCCATAGTGGCCTGCACTGAATGGTAGTCTCCACTGGAATGTTCTGGCCATGCTACAAACACCAAGGGGAGTTCTTCAATTCACTGTAGTAACTTTTTCTTTTCTTTCTAGAATCATGGATTAAGGATGCTAGCAGCCCGAGCACTGATTCTGGTGGAAAAGGCATGCTAAGGAGGCCCTCTTGGTCTTTTCAAGTCTTCAGTGGATCCATGTGGTATAACCCTTGTCTCCAGCGGCGGATTTAGGGCAGGGCGAGTGGGGCAGCTGCCCCGGGACCCGCGCTTCCTGATGCCCCGCACATGCGCCTTGGCACCACGCCGCATGCGCTGTGTCAAAGGGGGGGCCCCGCGAAATTTTGCTGCCCGGGGCCCCGCGGTGCTGCCCTGGGCCCCGCGGCACTCTCATCCTCCCCTGCTTGTCTCCTTTCTCTTCCCTGGATGGTGCATTTCATCATCAGCTGCCCTGGCCCTGTTTATATCCTGGAATGATCCTTGCCACTCGGCCAGCAGTTTTGACTTCAAGTTTGGCAGCAACAACAAATCCGCTCAGTGGGTCAGCCAATCAGCATCTAGATACTGAGAAGTGGGAGGCTGAGAGGTCTCAGCAGATGTCCCAAAGGATGGCCCATGTCAGCACTAGAAGGGATCAGCCTTAGAGCAATTCCAGTCCCACTTCTTTGGGACAGCCTCCTACAAAGACATAAGAGGTAGGTAGGGTGCGTGTGTGTGTCTGTGTACCTCTGTCCTGCCTGGCTTATGTCAGAGTCTGTGTGTGTGTGTGTGTGTGTGTGTGTGTGTACTTCTGGCTGAAGTCAGGGTCTCTCTGTGAGGTCACCACCACCACACCACTGTCCTCCAATAGGCTGAGGTCCCGCAACAGGCCTTTTATGATGTCACTGCCACACTCAACCTCCTCTGCAAGGCTGATGTCCTGCCCCCAGCCAGCTCCTTTGGGCACATCACCTGTTAGGGTTGCCAGGTGTCCGGTTTTGAACTGGACAGTTCAGTATTTAAGCTTTCTGGTCAGGAAACAAATCGAGAGAATATAAATGAGAAAATATAAATGTCCAGTATTTTCTAAATAAGATGTAATGTAGATTGTCATATAATGTCAAGTGTGTCTGGTATTTTTGTTGAAACCATCTGGCAACAACCCTATAGACTGCTCAGAATAAAGTGCTCTCATATGAGCTACAGACCAGTAACTGCTCATAGTCCTTATTCAGCAAGTATTTGAGAAGAACTGGCCCATTGGAGAGAATCAGGAACTGCGCAGACACTATAATTGCAGAGAAGCAGCACGATCAATTAAAAGCCACGATTTCTTGTGATTTGTTTGGTCGTAAAAGAGATCAAAAGGGCCCGAGTCTCCCCTGTTAATAGCCACCTGCTCAGCTAATGAGCATTGAGACCCTGAGAGCTGGGATTGGAGGAGTCTCAGCAGAAGTCCAAAAGGACGGCCAGGTCACCACTGGACGGGATCAGTCTCTGAGCACTATTCCAGCCCCACCTCTTCGTGTGAGGGCGAGAGCTGGGATTGGAGGAGTCTCAGCAGAAGTCCAAAAGGACGGCCAGGTCACCACTGGACGGGATCAGTCTCTGAGCACTATTCCAGCCCCACCTCTTCGTGTGATAGGCCTGAGGCTGCTCGGTGTGCTCTGCGTTGTGTATGTGTGAGTGCACCTCAGACCAGACCCACTCCGACAAATCACCAGGAACAGGCTTTATTCTGTAAAAAACATAGAACAGGAAAACAGTTCAGCAGCCCCCTTCTCTCAGATGCAGCCTGTGTGCTGCTTCTAGCACAGTCCTTGCTGAGACCCTGC